CAGCTGGCGCAGACCGGCTGGTGTTCCCGCTGGTGCCAATACTTATGGTCGCACCTCTGCTCCTGATGACAGCGGTCATACCATTTGCCCAGAATACGGCTCTGGCCAGCCTTAATGTGGGGGTTCTGTACATATTGGCGGTCAGTTCGGTGACTTCGGTAGCCATATTTATGGCTGGGTGGTCATCCAACAATCGTTACGCAATGTTTGGAGCGGCTCGGGCGGTGGCAGTGCTTATCAGCTACGAGGTTCCCGTTGTGTTGTCGCTGCTGGGTGTGGTCATGGTGGCTGCTTCCATGTCGTTGGGCAGCATCGTTGGGGCCCAGTCCCTACCTTTCATCTTGGTACAGCCTCTGGCATTCTTTGTCTTTCTGGCCGGAATGTCGGCAGAACTGAATCGGTCACCATTCGACGTCGCGGAAGCGGAATCGGAGATAATTGCCGGTTACCACACTGAATACAGTGGGGTTAAATTTGCCCTTATTCAGGCAGCCGAATTTGGTGGCGTTGGAGTGGTTGCAGCCATTACGGCAACCTTGTTCCTTGGTGGCTGGTCCGGTCCTTTGCCCGAGTATCTCGGTTGGCTGTGGTTTCTGCTAAAGACCGGAGTTGTAGTGTTTCTATTTGTTTGGTTTCGCGCCACCTACCCTCGCCTCAGGATCGACCAAATTATGGCATTTTCCTGGAAGTTCCTGTTGCCCCTGAGTCTTATCAACTTGTTCGCTGTCACCTTGGAAGTTTTTTTCCTCAGGGGAAATGACGGGACGTTGACCGTGGGCGATCTGGGATTAATGGCAGTGATCAATCTGGCGGTTGCCGCGGTATCAGTGTTTGTGTTTGGAAGTCTCATTAGGGACAGGGTAAAGTTTCAGACCCGCCGGCCAGAAAGTGGGATTGTACCCGGGGTTTCCACGATAGAGGTGAGGTGACATGTACGGTCTGGGATTGGTTAAAGGCTTGCTCGTAACCCTTAAGAACTTAACCAGAAAGCCCTTCACCATACAATACCCCGAGGAAAGGGCTCCGCAGCACCCAAGATTCAGGGGGGAAGAGTTTGTGTGGTACGAAGAGCGTTGCACCGGCTGCGCTTCTTGTGCCAAGTATTGCCCCCTGGGGATCATCAAGATTGTGACATCGCCCAGCGAAAGCGCAATTCCCGAAGGCGACAAATATCGCCTGGAAGTCTTCGACATCGAACTGCAGCGATGCATGTTCTGTGGGCTATGTGTAGAAGCCTGCCCTTACGACGCCTTGTTCATGGGTAGCGGATTCGAGCAAGGCCAGTACAGTCGCAAAGACATGGTAATAACCATTGACCAGCTTCGCCACGCAGAAAAACACCCCAGCACCTGGTTTCGTCCCCAGTTGGAGGGATACGAAAGCGACCAGCCTTCTGCCAGTAGAACGCCAACAGTTGCCCAGGGCGACTCCCGATTCACCTACGACCCTCGGGGAGGCCCTCCTCTGGGCTGGAGAGAAGTAGGCCGAGAAGCTTGGCGGTGGCACCAGCGAGAGAAGGCCGGCATGCGCCTGGAACAGCAAGAGTCAAAGGCAGCTAACGAATCGGAGAGTGGACCCGGCGAGGATGAATAAACTGGTTGGCTACGGAATAAGCTTGGGTCCCGCGCCCGGGCGGTACGTCGTATTGGAGGCCAAGTGCTGACGGTTCAGGACGTCGCGTTCTGGCTCTTGTCTGTCGTCGCAATAGGTTCCGCGCTGGGGGTAGTACTGGTCAGGGACCTGTTCCGTTCGGCCCTCTTGCTGGCTGTGGTTTTTGTTGCCGTCGCCGGATTCTTCGTCCTCTTAAGCGCCGAATTCCTGGCAGTCGTTCAGGTGCTAATTTACGTTGGCGCAATATCGGTCTTGTTTATTTTCGCCATAATGTTGACCCGAAACGTACGAGAGGGGAATTTACCCAATCGCTTGCAACTCCCTGCCATTCTCTTTCCCGCACTTCTATTGGTTGGGCTCATCGCCGCCGTGGTGGACACCGATTGGCGGCCCATACCTGAGGCGGCTACGGCCATGGTGGATAGAGTTCAGACCCAGGCGGTGACCAGTCAAGTTGTGGGCGGTAACATTGGAGGGTCGGTTGACCCAGGTCAGTCGATTCAGGAATCGGGTTTAGCCGACCTGTTGATTGGTTCCTTTGTTCTTCCGTTTGAAGCCGTTTCCCTGCTGCTTCTGGCGGCGCTGATTGGAGGACTGGCACTGGCCAGGTCCAGGGAGAGCTAGCTGCGATGACCCTCGAGACGATGCTGATAGTAGCCGCCGTCCTCTTTGTAATTGGGTTGTACGGAGCATTAGCTCGCAGTAACGTAATCGCGGTTCTAATGTCCATCGAGATTATGTTTAATGCAGTTAACCTTACTGTGGTTGCCTTTTCCAAGTACGTCGCTCCCCTGGCATTAAGAGAAAACATTGGAAGCGTACTTACTGGTCAGGTCTTCGCCATATTTATCATCACGGTGGCGGCGGCCGAAATAGCCCTGGGCTTGGGCATAGTTTTTGCCATGTATCGGCATACGGAAACCATCACGTTAACCGAAGCCAATCAACTGCGTAACTGACAGGTCGGCACTTTATCCGACCAAAGGCGGCAGTCCCGAAAAAATGTGGGTGGAATTCAAAAAGGCGCCTAATCTAATGCTGGCAGAGATGTGGAAGGAAGTCCTGGAAGGGGAGGGTCTGCCAACCCGGATCCTTCCAGAAGGCGACATCCGTGATTGGGGAGAGAGAGTTCCCTTTCTGATTTATGTACCCAAGGGCCGTGAGCACGTGGCCGAAGAGATTCTGAGGAAGCTATAGATGGTCACCGAGTCGCTGGTATGGGCAATATTTATTCTTCCCCTCGCTGTTTTCCTCCTTATTGCGTTAATTGTCCGGCCGTTCTTTAACCGTTACGCCGCAGTTAGTGGCTACCTTCTAATAGCAGCGCTGACCGTCTCCTTTGTATTTTCCGTATTGGTGCTGTATCAGGACAACGCCGGCGCGGCCCTAGCTTTTGCTCCCCATACCTGGATCGACCTCGGTGATGCCTCAATCCAAATGGGTCTCTTGCTGGACCCATTGACCAACGTAATGCTGGTGGTAGTGAGCGGGGTCAGCTTGCTCATCCAGATATATTCCCTGGGATATATGCGAGGAGACCCCGGGGTGGCCCGTTATTTCGCTTATATGTCCCTGTTCACTGCGGCAATGCTGGGGTTGGTATTGTCGGTCAATATCGTCCAGCTCTATGCCTTTTGGGAATTGGTGGGAATTTCTTCGTACCTCTTAATTGGGTTCTGGCATGATCGGCCTGCCGCTGCCGCCGCCGCGAAGAAAGCGTTTATCGTCACCCGCATCGGTGACGTTGGTTTCTTGCTAGCAATCCTCTACCTGTTCTACCACGGGCCAGAATTTGCCTCCGCGGGCCTCAATCCACTCCACATTCCGGACATTTGGCAGGCCACCCAGCCGCTGGCTACCGGGGTCACAATCCTGGGCGGAACTGCCCTTACCTTGATTTGCCTGGGGATATTTGCGGGGGCCGCTGGAAAATCGGGGCAATTCCCTCTTCATTCCTGGCTGCCGGATGCCATGGAGGGTCCCACTCCGGTCAGTGCCCTTATCCACGCGGCAACAATGGTGGCTGCGGGCGTGTTCCTGGTCGCCCGTTTCTTCCCGCTTTTCCAAGAGACTAGGGAAGCGATGATGGTGGTAGCCTTAATTGGGGGATTCACGGCATTTGCGGCGGCTACGCTCGGGCTTGTGATGAACGATATTAAACGGGTCATGGCCTATTCGACAGTGAGCCAACTGGGATACATGATGGCTGCCTTAGGACTAGGAGCCTTTGGCCCTGCACTGTTCCATCTGTTTACCCACGCCTTCTTTAAAGCGCTCTTATTCCTTGGGGCTGGGAGCGTAAACCATGCTACAGGAACCTTCAATATGCGTTATATGGGCGCCTCCGTCAGCGCATGCCCTGGACTTACGCTTTGGTGCTCATCGGGGGACTCAGCCTGATGGGGATAGTCCCGTTGGCAGGGTTCTGGAGCAAGGACGAAATTCTTACCGCTGCCTGGTTGGGTGGCGGCCCTGTGGAACCATGGGTGGCCCGAACGGTCTTTGTCTTGTTGGCTGCCGGGGCGTTGCTTACTGCTTTCTATACATTCCGCATGATTACCCTTACGTTCCACGGAGAATTTAGAGGCGGAGGAGCCCAAGAAATTGAGGATATGCTTGCCCGACAGGAGACACCGCCGGCCACGGTTACGGACGAAGTTCACCTCGTGGAATCACCGCGTGTCATGGTGGCTCCAATGGCTGTGTTGGGTATTGCTGCAGCCATTGCCGGTTATCTGGTTAATCCGCAGTGGCTTAAGAACTTTATTGGTATACCGGGGCATTGGTTCTCCCATTACGTAGAATCGGCAGTTCTATTCGGCCATCTGGAAACTCCGGCTTTCCACTGGGGAATTGCCGGTATATCCACAATTGTTGCACTGGCGGGGATTGGCCTCGCTTACCTGCTCTATGTTGCTTTGGCCGCAAAGCGTACCCAGCCGCCATTGGAAGCCACCCATGAGGTTGCTTCCGAGCATGTCGACCCTGAGTTGGGGGATATTGAAGCCGTTCCTGAAGTGGCGCATGACCTCTCTCTCTCGGCTGTTGCGCCCCAGGCGCCGGAACACTTGGCCAAGGCCGGACCGATATACACCCTTCTAGCCCGCAAATACTTTGTGGACGAACTCTACGAAGGTCTGCTGGTGCGGCGGGTCTTTTACCAATACTTTGCCGGCATAGTCGATTGGCTGGACCGGAGTCTCGTGGACGGGCTGGTTGATCTGGCATCATGGTTGGTCCGTCAACTGGGGCGTCTACTGGCCCAATTTCAGACCGGCCAAGTCCAGTTCTATGGTGCGGTTATTGTCTTGGGAGCAGTGCTGATGCTGGTGGGATATCTCGCGTTTGGCACTGGCCTGGGAGGCTAAGAAATGTTTGCCGCTCCGGGGTTGCTAACGCTTACCGTATTTGTCCCGGCAATTGGGGCAATATTGCTTTTGGCGTTAGTCAGGGGTGACCGGGTAGTGCGAGGGTTCGCGTTCCTGGTAGGGCTAGTTGACTTATTGCTTTCGGCGGTCGTCTTCCTGTCATTTGACCGGGGAGAAGGGGCAGCCCGGTTCCAGTTAATAGACCGGCTGGACTGGATCACTGCTGAGACCTTTAATGCCAGTTATCTTCTCGGAGTTGATGGCCTAAGCGCCCCGATGGTGCTCTTGACGGGGCTGTTGGGTTTTTGTGCCATCATAGCCTCCTGGTCCATCAAGGAAAGAGTAAGAGAGTATTTTATTTGGCTGCTGCTGCTGCAGACAGCAGTGATGGGTGTATTCGCCTCTCTGGACTTCCTGCTCTTCTTCCTCTTCTGGGAGTTGGAACTGCTGCCGATGTATATGTTGATAGCCAGCTGGGGCACCGGCCGAAAGACCTATTCTGCAATGAAATTCCTTATTTTTACTATCTTGGGCAGCGCGTTTTTGCTGGTTGGGATAGTGGCAATCTTCCTCAGCCAATCAACCGGTTCCTTCGATATGATGATCCTGCTGGAACAGGGCTCTATGCTGAGCGCATCTTCGGCAGCGGTACCCCTCAGCCTGATGTTCTGGCTCTTTTTTGCGGCCTTTGCGGTGAAACTGCCCACCTGGCCGGTCCACACCTGGCTCCCCGACGCTCATACCGACGCCCCAACGGCTGCCAGCGTAATGCTGGCCGGTGTCATGTTGAAGATGGGAGGCTACGGCCTGCTGAGAGTAAATGTTGGGATGTTCCCGGGTGAAGTTAGGACCTTTGCCTGGGCATTGATACTGCTTGGAGTGATCAGCGTGTTGTACGGGGCAGTAGTCACCTTGAGGCAAACAGACTTGAAGCGTCTGATCGCCAATTCCAGCGTCAGCCACATGGGGCTGGTATTGGTCGGGATAGGGTCAGTGGGCGCAGCCGCCGGGCAGGTGACCGGCTCGGGTTTGAATGGTGCCGCCTTGCAATTATTCACCCATGGCACCATTACCGCGTTGCTGTTTGTTGGCGTGGGACTCATATACGACAAGGCTCACACTCGGTACATTCCCGACCTGGGAGGGCTTGCCAGTCGTATGCCAATTGCTGCCGCTGCCCTGGCGATTGCGGGATTCGCTTCCCTGGGTTTGCCTGGATTGAGTGGTTTTGTTTCGGAAATCCTGGTTTTCTTTGGCGCCTTCCGGGCATTCCCGCTTCAAACTTTGCTTTCAGTACTTGGGATAATCCTGGCTGCAGGGTACATTCTTTGGATGTTAGAGCGGTCCCTATTTGGTCCCAGCCGGGAGCGGTTTGCGACAATAACCGACGCCTCTCCACTGGAAGCGATACCCCTGGCCCTCTTGGTGGTCAGCATAGTGCTTGTCGGGGTTTACCCCGCAATTCTAACTGATGTCTTCGATAACGCGTGAACCTCTGTTGAAATGATTAACGCTTCTCTGCTCATGTGGCCCGTGTCCGTCGGCGCAGGTTCTGCGAACTAAATCCCGACCTGCTAGCGTTACAACAAGATCTATACCTGATTTTCATTCACCGCAATGAGGATGTGGCTGGGCGGGGCATACTGTCATCCTCGCTGAACCGGGTGATAGGTCGCAAGAGATGGTTCAAGCGCTCTAGCGCTGGCCAGCTGGTGTGTTCCTTTATGGTTTGTTTTGGTCGCAGCTCTCCGATTGGCCGCCTGCGGACTGTGGCCGCTTCGTACGGACATCTAGTGGCCCGGCCACCAGCGTCCTTGCTGACAGCCCTGTCAGTTGACAGGGTTGGAACCTGTCTGAACCTCTTGGTCTGTGGCGACATTGGCCGGGTTTCCTGGCGTCTGTGTCTTATGTCATCGCTCTCGCTCTACGTCTACATGGAGATACTTCCTATGGGCTGATGCGGCTGTCGGCCACGCGGAATGATGTTGCTCTAGCTTCAATCCCACTGAATTACTCAACGATTTACGTGGCACTGGAGTTAACTTACTACCCCTGCCCCTGGTTGCGCTTGCCGCATTTCTTCCTTCCCAAACTCCAGTCCGCGAAGCTGGCATGAAGTTCCTCCGGTAATTGGAGCCATTGTTCGCTACCC